CAGACCCAATGCTAGGATTCACAATACTAAACCTCTTATCATTAATATCAGAAAGGCCCAGCCACCAGCTTTTTGAAAGCTTAGAAAATTTCTTCATCCCAAGGCACCAGAATCACCTCATGATTTACCTCCAGTGTCAGGCCACTGCAGGATGGATTTACTCTACATTTACTCTTGTCTGGAACCAAGTAGGCGTCATAAGCCATACCATGCCCAACAGGGTTATAAAATGATACAGTCACACTTAGGAGTCCAAAAGAGCTGCTCAGCAAAATAAGAGATAAGCTACACCAGTCTATCAGTACCTCAGCCTCACCTAAAGAATACACCTGTTCCTTACAGTTGGGTGATTGTATTTTCAGTCCCGAAAATACTGAAGTTAATAGGTAGATAATAAAGAAAATCAAGTCCATAGTAGTAATACTTGCCTATTAAGTTTAGGAGTAACCTATATGTGCAAATGAACTGTAAAATATATAATATTAATGATACTTTCACATAGAAGTCTTGTAATTTAAGTTAAAATATGTAAAAATATTTATTAATATAGAGACAGTATTGAGATATTGAGGAGAATTTGTTTACCACATACTATATGAGTTAGTTTTGTGCTTGGCAAAGTTTTGCTTATTAAGGCTAGAAGTTTCCCCAGTAACCATTTCAAGTGCTTAATAAAAAGAAAATATATTCAAGTGTTTTTATATTTTAAATTTTAAAGACATTTAATTGACTAAATTTTAAATGATTTAGGACAAAGCATTAACCAAGTCATAAATGGTACTGTTTTCTTTAAGGAAAATTTAGCCTATTCAACTTATGTTAATCAAATGTTAATCAATTAACAGTCACAAAAGTAATTGTTCTTATTTCATACAGAAGTTATAACAAGATTTATAGATGGAACCTAACTAGGATGTCAATTTGTAATTTAATGTGCTAAATATTAATGTTAATTTAAAACCCACCTAAATAAATTATCATTGCTTTGTACAAATAACCCCCCTCCCCACCCCCAAAAAGAAAAAAAACAAAGAAACTCATTACTCATTTTGACAGAAATAAAAAATGTTTTTATTAACAAAATCAGGTAGCTTGCCTTTGAAATTATAGCGGCTTCGAGAAGCTCTCTACCCCAAGCATCTGAAACAGCAAGGTGATAATAGCGGGTCTTGAATACTTCTTAGAAGTTCTTGGATCTGTATTTTGAGAGTCTGAATCCTGAAATTTTTTTTTAATAGATGTTCAGTTTCATAGGCAAAGAGTTACGACATTCCATAGGGAGGGTGAAACTCTGTTTTGCTCAGAGGCATTCTGAAGGTAATTGCTACTACAAAGACTTGCAGAGACACTACTCCCTGGAAGATTATATCACGAAGAAAAGCAAAAATATTCCACTCTTGCTGGCCTTGAGGCAGTAGTCATCAATAACATTTTTGTTTGTTTGTTTTGTTCTGTTTTCTCTAACCTAAAATAGCATTGCCATACTTTTAACCTGAGTTTAGAAAGAAAGAAAAAAATCTATCTGAGATCAATAATGTTGGTAGCTGGCCTTCTATGGCATGGTGTTTACAGCCTACTGATGACAAAGTCTTTGAGTGAATTATTTTTACACTGAGAATTTTCCAAACTGAATATTTTAGAAAATTTAAATATCTCCCTGTAGAGGTATCCCAGACTATAAAATCCCAGTATATTTTGAGATGTCATTAGATCTTTGCTTCTGTGTAATAGATGACAGAATTTTAATAGCTAGGAATGCAAAATGATATAGTCTTATTATTTGGCTAGTTCAATGAAATTTCCCAAATCATAACAGTTTCTGTTAGTATTTTTTTTCTTGATTGATGTTCTCAAGATAACAGCTGAAGGAGAGCTATCATAGTATTAGGGAAAGGGGACCAGCTCTGGACTCAAATTCTAGAGTTTATGTCCTATTCCAGGCACATATTCTTGTGGTTTTGGAAAAGTCACTTAACTTGCTGGAACTTTAGTTTTTACATGATCATTACCCTCCATTACATAAGTAAAGATCAATTCACTGAATAGATTTCTAGACACTGTACAATTCTGACAATTTATTTTGTTCATTTCCTCCCTTTTCTGTCAATTTTCTGTTTCCAAGTTTTTCCCAGAGCTTTTTCACAACACATTATTAAGCTTCTGAACTTCCCTTTCTTACTTATCCGTAGAAGCTGCCATCTGGGCAAAAGTGTCCCATCAGGGACTACCACAAGACCATCGTTAACTAATCTGATCTTTGTCCTTAATACAATAATGGACAGGTTTATTTTTACCTTCAATAATGAGAGACCTTGAGTAGAAGATATGCAGATGTGTTAGCTCTCAGTTTTCTGTGAGGGTGAAGACTGCCTGTGTCTTGTTCACTGTTGTATTGAAGGGCTTAGCAAATAACCTAGTACATAATAGTTATCCAAACATTTGTTGTGTTTACTGGTTGATCTGAAATACATTTAGTTATTCAGAGACACTAAATCGTACTCAATTTTAGTCTGTGTTTTAGTGTTGATCAATGTCTTAGCCATTTTGGGTTACGATAACAAAATACCATAAACTGAATAGCTTGTAAACAACAAAAATGTATTCCTCACAGTTCTGAAGGCTGAGAGGTATGGAAAGGTTTGGCGTCTGGTGAAGACCCACTTCCTAGACTGACATCTTTTTGCTATAACCTCACATGGCTGAAGGGGCAAGGGAGCTTCCTGATCCTCTTTTATAAAAGCACTAATGCCATCATTGGGCTCCACCTTCCTGACCTAATTACATCCCAGCAGCCCCACCTCCTAACACCATCGCCTTGAGAGTTAGGATTTCAACATATGAATTTTGGGGTGACACAAACTTTCAGACTGTAAGCAATCAATATCCTTACACTCAAAGCTACCAGTCATTCAAACTGATCTCCACACTTATTTTCACTGGAGATGATATAAAACAAGGAGCCACCATTGATTCTGTATATCCACAGTACCTGATGCTGAATGGTTGTTGTGTTAAGAAGATTTTGGGCACACAGCAGTTCACATATTCCAATATGGCAAGTAGAAAAGTTTTAAGAGTGAGAACATGTGGTAGATATTTCCTGAAGGTCTATGTATAGTTATTTAACCTTGGCTATTGGGATTAGAAAAAAAAAAGTGAAGCAGATTTCAACTGCCTTTTGAGATTTGTTTTTTCTGCATATGATTTTTTGTCCCCTTGTAAAAAGTAAACAAAGAACAACAGGAAGAAAAAGAGGAGGAGGAGGGAAGGTAGGAGAAAAGGGAAAGGGGGGAATTCAACAGAGGAAAGGCAAGAAGAGAGAAGAGGAGAAAAGAAAAGGGAATAGAAATATGTTCAGAATTTAGTTTTATCTCAAAATCCTTATTTAAAAAATAACTTTCTACAGGTCATTAGAGTTCAGTCAAAATAACAGTGTCTTCAACTTGTCTTTCTACGTAAACTGAAGCAGTCAAGCCAACCGTTACCAGGGCTCCCTCCTACCTTTCCATCGCTCTTCTGTATAAATCTAGAAGGAAATAAGCCAACAACACAGGTTTAGTTCCCAACTCCCAGTGCAATAGCCACAGAAGAGAGAGACTAGGGAAAAAACCAAGTTCTGCTCTGATGACAATGGTTGAGAGAGATACAAAAAAATTATGAGCTTGAGACACAAAGGGGTGGGCATAATTGGTATTTACTCCATCCTGTTATTTCGCCCAAGATCTTATTCCTTCAGCTCTCCGTGGGATGGGGAAAATGGCAACCCTCACATGCAAATCAAGGTTAGGAGAAACATTATGATAACTTCCCCCTGTAAGCCCCCTCTTTCTAGAGGGCAAGCAAACCCTGTCCAAACCCAAGACCAAGGAAATGAGGCTTTGACAACAGGGGCCATTTCTGTCTTTTTGTTTTTGTTTTTTCTTTGTTTGTTTTTGTCCATTGACCTATTAAATGGCTTTCTTTTCTAAGTGCCTGATGTTAAAGAAGTCTCAATTCAGGAGAACCATGAGGGTAGGCTTGGGAGAACTCAACAGGCTGTAAATGATTGTCCAACAATCCATATCACCACAATGCCATTTAACGGTGATAGGAGAACACAGACCTTTGGTGACTGGTGCATTGAGAGAATACGAGTTAATAAATAAACCAGAGCTGCTCGGGACTGAGACACTGCAGTCACCATCTGACTCACAGTACCTGTGTCAGTAACAAAGCCAAGCCATGGTTTTATTTTTCTACTACCCCACCATACATTAGCCCACAAAATTTGTTTTATCTCATTTTACAGGTGGAGAAACTGAGGCATAAAAGGAGAAAATGGCTCCTCCAAGATCACGTGACAGGTAATGCAGCTATGATGAAAAACCAAATATTCTGTCTCCCAGACTTCTGTCTTACAGCAATCCTTGATGAGTTGGTACCTCTCATTATATCACTGGCTTTAACATTAGGTTAAACATTAGGTGAGTTCTAAATATTATTTTTTTGCCATTTTTGTATTATGGTAAAATACACATCACATAAAATTTACGATTTTAACATTTTTAAGTGTACAGTTCAGTGGTATTAAGTACATTCACACTGTTGTGCAACCATCACCACCATTTATTGCCAAAACAAAACTTTTTCTGTCTTTTCCAACTGAAATTCTACTCATTAAACAGTAACTTCCCATTCTGTTTTTCCTCTAGTTCCAGGCAACCACTTCTGAATGTTATTTCACAGAAAAAGGAAATGTTGACTTTGAGTTTGATTTACACCCCAAAAATGTAATTAGATGCAGGAGGGACGGGGTGGGAGATAGATATAAATTTGGAACTGACTGACTGTGCCTTAGCAGAAGATTCCATGTGAGTGTACTGTGCTGTGCTGTGTGTGTGTGTGTGTGTGTGTGTGTGTGTGTGTGTGTGTCTTTAAAAGGTTTTCCTCCTTCCAGCCCGCCCCCTCACAGTTTGCCACTGGGTTTTGCAGTCTCCTGATTTCCTCAGTCCACAAGAGGAGCCAGCATGGGCAATCTTCTTTATAGTGTTAGGAACTAGTTTGTTGCTGTGGAAGCCACATTCTGGGTTGAGGAGTGGAAAGGTAACCATTTGTTTTTAGTTTCAAAGATCTGCTCAAAAGATAGACTATTGCTCTTCTTCTGGAAAAGCCTGATTGGTAGGATTCCTCCAAGGTCTCAGCCCAAAGTGCTTTATCCCATCCCCTCACCAAATTCAAAACTGAAGCTTGCCAAGAACCGCTGGAGGAAAACCTGCTGGGTTCCATCATTTCACACAATGGTTAATTCTGGAGGTGGTGCTGTTTGCAATGGGAATCTTCACAATCATAAAAAACAGAGTGACGGCTCGCAAAGTGGAAACTGCAGCAAGAATGGGATAGTGAAAGAAGCCCAGGTAAGAGGCAATCCCTCCCTGACTCGAATGACCAGAGCATTTCAATATTTCTTTGTAAAGCTGTTTGAAGCTGTCTTCACTGAAAATCCTTTTTATGAAGTATTATGTGTTTGACTCTTCACTTCAGCTAATTTCAAATGCTTGGCTACCAAACATTTAGCTGTGGGTTAGGGAGACAATTTCTTTTCTGTACAACAGAGGACACACATAGTCTGCAGAGTTTTAAACCCTGAAAACACAAATATATCTGCTAGAGTTTTGTTTTCTCTCAAGTATTCTGGGGCAGACTTGAGAAGGCTCAAACTTTTCAGCTAAATTTCAGTCTGTCAAAAAATTGTAACAGGCTACACTCGTCATGTTTCATAAGAAAAAGAGAAAGTGAAAGTAAACTTAAAATTGCTGAGATTATGTGATACAGATAGCATTTCCCCCCAGTGCGTGAGAAACGCCTCTCTGGGTGAGAGGTGAATTATTTTTGGTGTTTAGTGGAGCATCGTCATAGCTTACAGCTTGATTTTGGTCCTGAGTCTTTCTTTGAAACTTGACATCACAGCATTCCTTCCAAAGACAATTCAGACTGTGTGGCTTATTGTTAACACTCTGCACACAGGTACCAAACAAACTTTTAATTATTTTCCCATTTGATACTTTTGTTTTTGGCTCCTGCTGTTACAGAATGTTTGATGGGGATATACTGAGGAGGAAGAGGGACTGAAGAAGTGTTGTCAGCTTATTCGAAGAGGGAGCTGGGCTCTGTGAGGTGCTCGTAAAAAGGCAGTTCCCTATTTCCCATGATATGCCCTAGCTCTCTGCTCTGAGTAGCCAGGATGAGCTCACCTGCTTCAGAAACACATCAGCATAGCGAAACAGGTGGTTCCACTGTTGGGAAATGAGAAGTTGGGAAGGGAACCTACGCAGTCCTCTATCACTCATCCATCCCTGGAAGACCAGCATCCGCCCAGGGAACAACTTGTTCTAAGATCACAGAACAAGTTGGGCTGGCTAGGGGTCAATCCACCATTCAGTACATTAAATTAGTGAGTAAAGTTGCAAGAGGTGAGGGGCGGGGTGGGGGAGACTCTAGAGCCTGGGTTTTATGTGAATAGGCTGCGGTCCACTCTTAACAGAAGGCATTACATCAGTCTCAGATGTGTCTACTTGAAATATGAGGCCTGGCCTCTCCCAGCTGAGTATCTGAAACCTAGTGCAATGTAAAGAGAAAACACTCAACTCCTGCCAGTGGCATGAGGGCAATCATAATAATATGCACCGTTTGTCAATTCAGACTGCTATCACCCAAGATGCTCCTTATTCCTGAAATGCCCGTGACACTAGCCACTCACCTACTTGCCCTCTGGACCATTCTAACCCTGCAGGCTCTCATTCGGGCAGAGATACTCTCAAAGCCATTCTTCTCTCTCCTTACTTTATCTTGGTTTTATAACCACCTGCTAGTGTCTGAGGTTAGAAACTTAGCTAGCTGGTTACAGCCATTCCTAAATAAGGACAAACGCCAGGCTCCTAAAGGTTCATTACTAAGCGCTCCTACAAGACCGTAAGTAGCCTTAGACACTGAGGCTTCCCTGAGAGCAGCAGGAATTATCAAGGCTGCCGTTACCTTTTCCGACAGCTCTTTCTGAAGGAACATCCAGAACCTGTTGGCTCAGATACTTAAGAGACTTGATTATTGCTAAAAAAAATATTTTCCAGAGAGAATAAACCCTGCTGAGATTTTGGTATAGTAGGGCGGACAAGGGTCTGACTTCCCCCTTCATGATGTGGATGAAGTTGTCTTCACTATCATGATCCTCAGTTACTAGTTTTAGTCCATTTTGCAACTGGGTCTTGACCAAAAACCTTGGTAGTTGACAAGCACTCCATAAAGGCTTATAGATGTGCTAGGCCAGTAGTCTTCCAAATACGTTCTGCCAGGCCTAGGGTCCTATGAAGCAGCATCTAGAGTCCTACCAGCTCCTCCGATGATCCCCTCACCCTTTATCTTTCTGCTTATTTGCAATGACTCAGCAACACATTTGTCTTTCATATGTATTTGGGGGGCCCTGTAAGATTCTGTTAACATGGGGTTCTCTGACATTAAAAGAAAAGAAAAGAAAATCAAAGAAAGCACTGTTAGGCAATCTCTCAAGAGCCCACCTTCCCTTTGTTCCAGTGTAGCCTGGTTTCAACACCCTAGCACTGGAATCCAGGCTAACCTCCCCAACCTCAAGGCTGGCAAGAGAACCCGATTCTTTCCATTTTGGAAACCTACTAGAGTTCCTTTATGGGCCTTTTTTGGAACTTGACTGTAGTGTCTGGTTTTTTTGTTTGTTTGTTTTGTTTTTTGCTTTTTTTCTCTTTAAACCTCATATGACCTGAGGATGCACTGATAATTGGTTTTCACCACTGATTAAGTCCATTTCTTTGTTCACTTCTAATATGTCATCCTACCCCATACTTCTGACAGATGGAACCTCAGTCAGTAACAAAACACTATTGTTCTGGAGGATTTGTTCTTCTCCTCCTGAGCATATCCACGTGACAGAAGGGCCCTTAACATCTTAATCCAAATTTGATGTTCTCTATAATTTCCTATTCATTAACTTAATCCTCATATAATTAATTTGGAATTATTATTTTCATAATTGCTCTTTAACCCTCACTCATTACTTTTGGCCTGGCCATACATTTGTACTAGGAAAACCTGAAGCTAGGAAGTTAGTCCTTGTGTCTTCAGTGCTCTTAATACTGCATTTCCCCAGAGGTATCTTTTCATAGGATGAAGTCTGAGTTTTCTTCTTTTAAATTGATCCTATAGGATGAAGGAAAACTGTTGAACATTTCCCTGAGCATTCCTTTCCTAGAAAATAAAAATGCACTGGGGTTAGAATTTTTCTATTCAGTGAGTTCTTGACCCTGAATGTTGTAACATTTCAAAGTTTCATATAGAGGTCTGACAAGTAAGTTTGACAACTTGTTGCAACAATGTTGCTAACCTTTTTTTGATATCAGAGGGATTATTCATTATAAATTTGTACCAACTGGACAAACAGTTAACCAAGTTTACTATTGGAAGTGCTGAAAAGGCTGCGTGAACAAGTTAGATGACCTGAACTTTTCGCCAACAATTCATCGCTCTTGCATCACAACAATGCACCAGCTCCCACGGCACTGTCTGTGAGAGAGTTTTTAGCCAGTAAACAAATAACTGTATTGGAACACCCTCCCTACTCACCTGATCTGGCCCCCAATGACTTATTTCTTTATTTGAAATAAGCAAAAAATTGAAAGGAAGACATTTTTATGACATTCAGGACATCAAGGGTAATATGATGACAGCTCTGATGGCCATTCCAGAAAAAGAGTTCCAAAATTGCTTTGAAGGGTGGACTAGGCACTGGCATCAGTGCATAGCTTCACAAGGGGAGTGGTTCAAAGGTGACTGTAGTGATATTCAGCAATGAGGTATGCAGCACTTTTTCTAGGATGAGTTCGCGAACTTAATTGTCTGACCTCATAGCGAGCCCTAAAAGGTAGTTTTCATTCTATTGTTCATTCATTCATGTGCTAATATTTTTAAGAATCTGTTATCCTTGGGACACATAAAGATATATTAAAAAGTTTGCAATTTAGCTACTAGGAGAAAGCTTATATTAAAACTAAACAATAAATTAATATTATATGATGTTCAAGGACAAGAGCTGAGTTATCACAAACCAGATATAATTTGAGGACAAATGGGTGGTCCAAATATTAAATAAGTTCAGAGAGGAGAAACAAACAAACAAACAAACAAACAAAACAACCTAAAAAACACATATCAGTGTTGTGCTATATATCAGGACCAAGCTAAGCACATTATGTCACAGTCTCCTGTATCCTCATAACAGCCCCATGAAGTAGCCATTTTACAGATGAGAAAACAAGAGATTAAGGAATTTGTGCAGAACCACAAATGGCGTAGCCAGGATTTGAACACAAATCCATATTGTTCCAAATCCAGTTCCCTTTCCTCCACTTTCTAGGACACCACAGGTTGGGGTGCTCAGTGATGACTTTACAGGGCAGGAACAACTCAAACCGAATCTTAATGCATTTGCAATGACAGAACAAATGGGGAGCTTATTTCTGGGAGTAAAATGAAGAAAAGAAAGGAAAGGAGCTCCAGAAATGAATGCAAGAATTGTTAGGTGAAGCACTTGGGAAGCACAGGTCAGGAAGCATTCCAAGAATGAGAGGGGAAAGTGCAAACTCTGGGAGACATGACAGAGTGCAGGGCATTTGAGTAATTTTTCTTGATTCAGTGAGACTTCAGCTTAGAGAGGGAGAGGTAATGCCATGGCTGAGGTGATGCTCAGTAGGTGTTAGATGAAAGGGAAGCACTAAAGCAAGTTATCATGGAAATCCTTTCTAGTTTATAACAATTGAAGCTGATCTTCCTGTTCTCCACAACTTTGTATATCCTCTATATCCCTGCAATGTCCTGGTACATCTGCTTTTTTATTATGGCATAAATGTCTTCTAGCGTGAGAACCATAACTGATAGTTTAATTGCATCCAGTGGTAACTGCTTGACAGGCCCTTATAAACACTAGTGTCTGTGGGGCTCATCTAGGTTACACACTGATTGAAACAGAGGTTCAATAATCTCACCAATTATTGATCCTTTTTAATTCTAAATTTTCATCTCACCCTCATCTTACTCAATCATTGTCCAGTATCTTTTGTGTTTTTGTTTTCATTTCCTTAAAAATAAAACCCCCAGTGTGACAAGGTTTCTCTGTAATCTCCCTGATGAGTCCTCATTTTTTATGGATTCATAATAGTAAAGCTTTCCTATGTGACAGCTACTGCAGCTATTAAGAAGAAAATTTTCTGTCTTCATTTATAAGTAGCTCACAAGTGTGAAAGACAGAACAGTAAACAAGTACTTGAAGTATTTAATAGCAAGTTGTATAATAGATGTTATAGTTATCTATTGTTATAACAACCACCTAAAAATG